GACTCTGCAGTCTACTCTTGTGGCTGCTACTGACGTTATAATCGAACAACCAATATAACTCGAAGCGAGTATACAACCTCAGTTAAACATAATGAAAACTAATTTAACTCTGGTGAAAAAAAATTTCAACGTAGAATATAAATTATCATTTCACTTTTTGAGTGACTTACTATATTATTGCACTTTTAGATTTATTCGTAGGTAAAATAATTTATATTTTGACATATTTACATAATTATTATTTTATGTTTATCAAAGTTTATAGTTCAGTGTAAAACCAACTTACAATAATAACAATTTATTTTACCATTTTCATACTCATAAAATTACTTCATTTCACTGATGAAATTTATTTTTAAATTTTATTCATTACGCAAAATATTTGTTAAATTTATTTTAAGCATATTAATGTTGTTGATTATTTCAATTTAATTCAGGTAAGACTTGCAATTAAATTTAAAGTTAATATTTAAATTATATATACGCATTTATAATATAATTTATAATATAGGTATACTTGAATAAATTATAACAATTAATAATAATTGATATCCAATTTAAGTATTGACACTCATTTAAATGCATAAAATCCAATGAATTGGAACGGATTCTAAAATATCTTTAAAATTATTGTTAAGTACAAATTCAATATGTATATATTGATTATATTGAACTTATTTGATTGAAATATTTAAAATTTTTATCGTCACATACATAATTATGTACTAATAAATATAAAAATCCTATTTTTATCATAATTTTCATTACTAGAATAAATTATAATTTGTTTTCTAGAACCAATTCAAAATATACATGTACTATTGTAATTTGACCTATTAAAGCCGATTTAACATTTACTGGCATAAGATGAAGCCAAATAATAAGCTATTATTTTTACAAACGTTAAAATGCATTTATTACATTACATAATGTTGAAAACAGTGAATTACGCTATTATGAAGGCTAATCTGATTAAGCAGGTATTGAATTTTATTATAACAATGAAATCGAGATGACTTTAAAATAATACCTATGTAGTTTATGAATAATACCTATAATGTTCCGATTTCGTTTAAAAAACTCAACAAAGCCTATAACAAGTAACAACTGCAAATCGATTAATTGATTTTAGATATTTATTTATTATATTTTTATTTCAAGAAAGAGTTATTAGTCTATTTTCATCCTTAAGATTACGAACTTAGCGCGTAAACTGAGAACTAACTATATATTAAATACAATATTCACTATAAGAAAGGTATAAGTAATTAAGGAACTTTTAATAATAAATTATTTTAATAAATTTTTATTTGCTTTATTAATCAACAATCAATACATTCAAATAATAACACCAAATTATAACCTACAAACAGTTTAAAGGAAGTAAAAGTGTAAGTATACATACACCTATAGGTTACATATTTTTTTTCAATCGGAAATTAAATGTACTTCAAATTTAAACGCTTAAAAATTCTTGTCTTTCAACCAAATCAATTTGAAGATTAATGCTTTAAAATTCAGAGCGGCACACCTGTTAGAATGGGCCGTTTAAAACGGCAGATATAGTAATATATACAGGTTTTATTTTTAAGCTTTAACCAATAAAATTAAAAGGATTATATTATAACTAAGTTAGGATAATAAAATAAAAATGTTTACTTGATATATAAAAACAATTCCAAATAATCCGTGAACGGCAACAAGTAGTTAGTTGTATATTTATTAGTAAGCACATACATATTAAACTAAGATTATTTTTCATAACGACGAAGTTAAATTATCAATAAATTAAATTAGTATTTATTTATATTTTATAGTTAACTTAAATTTATAAAAAAATTATTATAAAAATTTAAAATATTAAGTATATATAGTTTTCGGAATACTATCGTTGGATGATTTCTTCAACAGATGAACATGTCTTTTTATAATTTTATTAGCACCCATGCAATCATACTTATTGTTCCACTAATACACTAATTAAATAATTAAAAACGAAAAAACATATTAAAAAAATCAATGTACAAATAATTACTTTATATATATTAAAAAATTAGACTACAAAACGAAAAATGCGAAAAGGTGCTGTCCAACAAAGAAGTTTTTGCTCAATATCAGTATATTGAAAACGAATTCTATTAATTAAAGAACGCTGATTCTATGGTAATTTATATTTGACTAACGAATTTCGTTCTTCGCCGTAATTTTTTATGGTATAACATTTATTTAGTTTACAATCCATATAATACTACATACAAATGTATGTTTTATAAATAACGATGTTTGTTATTATTGAAATATAACAGTATACTCGTAAATCAATGCTATATAATGTCAAGTATATATTATTAAGTAGTTAAAAAAAAATCACATTATGTCGATTGGGAAAATATAAACTACTGCAGTTGATATTTAATATAATATTATATAATAGATCGATTTGAAATTATAAGTAAAGACGAGTACTCTTTATTTTAAGTTTTGTCAAAACTGTCGATGTTTTCGAAAAAAAAATAATATAATAGTTATGTACAATTGACACGAATTTGGTAATTATTGTTGGTATAAAAATGACATCGCTGTATCATATTATATTTAAGTTAGAGCATTAAATTAATATCAAAAATGTCTTTTAATATTGGTCATTTATGAACGTTATCTTCTATTATTTAAATAAAACATATTTTATATACGGGTTAATAGCATCACTTTTTTGAAGTTCTTGTTTGATAACCTTAAATCGTAATAATATTTTATTTGTTATACCCGCTATAAATTTTACAACAATTACTATTTAATTAAAAAATATGGTTTATTTATAAACTACTATAAATAGCTTCCGATAAATGGACGATTCTAGTTAAACAATGATTATTATGCACATCTACATTACTCGAGGCGCATACTAAGGTACACGAAAATATAACTCATACATTTGTATGGCAAGCGCATATAAATACATAAACAAGAATCTATAATATATATATATATGTTCTACTTTTTCTCCCATTGTCTGCAAACGCGAGTTTAAAATTGTTTAGAACAAAACAATGATGACTGAAAATGTTGACTATTAATCTAAAACAAGAATACGCGTGTAGGGTGGTAGTTAAAATGTAAAAACGTTTTCATCGTCATACGGTTGATTTTAGAATTTTAAATTAAAAAAAATGGGGAAAAAAGTCCATAGCTATGACAAATTACAATACGAATTCGATTTTATTTTGAGACAACTGAGATGTCGTTACGCCGCGATACGTAGTATTATATTATATTAAATGCTCATCATATATACATTACGACTATGAACAATGTATACTTTAATACTTTTGTATCCATCATAATAACCACAGTATTCCATAGTTCTTATATTTATATACGGTAATGCGATTCGCGTATTATTACTGCTCGTCATATTTTAAATGTGCAATTTATTACAAACCAAAATTGATTGTTTTTAATTTATTCTTGCATTGGATTATGTGATATAAACCGCTCGATGATTATCACGATATGCGAAGTGATCTGGCAAAAACAATGGCCTGCGTATATACGCGTTTCAATTGATATAAACATTATAAACCAAACATTATATTCAGGGTGTACCATCGCGTCATTACAACACTTTTTTTGAATTTATTATTAACTATTAGTATAAACTATGATAGCTCTCGACAATTAAAGAATACAACAAGAAAATTGTACAACTCGCAACTTTTAAGACATTCAAACACAATATATTAGATATTTATGGTTATAATAACACTTGTAGTGACATGATATAATACAATATTTTATTTCGTATATCACTCTCAACTGTGATTTAAATGCCAAATCGTCCCATACATTCCGGAATGTAGGTATACTCCTCTGTACTTACTGTAATGTGGTCTGCGAAGTTATATAAATATATTATGGGCAAATCATCGAAATCGAGCTAATCCGAGAAATTTTCAGGCAAAACTTTAACTACCAATAGCAAAAAATCTAGTTGGACCAACATAATATGGGCATTATATAGAATATTTCAAAATACCTCGTTAAAATATTTTTGATGTATTTTTATTATAACGGATATACTATTATTTACTATTATGATGATCAATTTATTCGATGACAATAATAATAAATAGTTGATAAAAAGCTTAATGATTTTTTTTTTTAATTTTTAAAATTTACTTCATAATACTAAATCATTCACTAAATGGTTCAAGTTAATACAATTATATATGTACAAGAATGTTTATTTTATTTTAACCTAAACAAATTATAAAGTATTAAAAAAATACATTGAACCTGTTGTGAAATATTCAAAATTCAAATAGTTCCTACGGTTTTTACCAAACTATTTTGGTCGGGTCTGGGTTTGCTCGAGCAAAAATCTAAGTATGACGCTTTGCACAAGTACACTTTGCATTTTGCTTGAGCATTACTGTGATTTTCCTGACTTCAAATTTTGCTTGTAGTAAAATTTATGTACTAAAATATCAAATATACTTATCAAACAGGAATTAACTAAACCTAACGTTTTGATTAATGTTTTCCAATTTAAATTTAAACCTCAGCTATTATGTACGTACTTAGCGTAGCTGCAATATAATATAATATTTGTATACATTATAATACGTAACTCGAGGTTATTAAGAATATATATATATATACGCATAATTATTTTAACATTTGGTTATAAATTAAAATGATATATTATGGAGAGCTGAATAATTTTTCTTTCTATTCTTTTTAATAAGAATAAGGTAAGATATATTATTATTATGGAACGATTATTAATATATCAAAACGATTGTTATTCATAAGTATGCAATATAAACTTTGTATAGAACGTACTTAGAAACGCGTAGGTCCATAAATCGTTGTAGATCATTTGATGCCAAATCTATAACATTATTTATATATTGTACGAGTATAATACGACACAGTAAAAAATTTGTTAGCCAATGATAAACGAAGTCGAATAAAAGAATTAAAT